AGAGAGATATTATAAAACATGTCTCTAACAATCACACCCCGTACACCTTGTTGCAATTGACACTAAACAAGTTATCATTTTGTGAGGACTTCTACAAATCTATTGAAGGCATGTTTTGGTTGCTGGAATAAATAATTTCACATGAGATCAATGTGAGTTGTCTATGTACTTGTAATTAGACTAATTATCTAATCTTTCGAGAATTTTACAATGGCAGTGTGTCCATGATATAAATACTCTCATATCTTACTAATCTCATTTATTATCTCATGTATTACTAATATTATCCATTATGGTCTGTATTACTAATCCCATCCATAATTCTATAGTATTATTGGTCAAATTCCTGAGAACTTATATTGGTTAGCAAACATGGCCTAATTAGCAAATTATGACTCGTTTAGCAAGTGGTGATTTTAGTCAAAAAAGTTAAAAAATCATTAAAAAAATCAAAAAGCTAACAACTTATATTAAAAAGTCAAAGATTTCATTATCTCTCTACTTTTTGCACATCTTTTCGTAAAAAACTAAAAAATCATTCCAAATATGTATCATGAAAATGATCATGAAAAATCATTCCATCGATGAACACCTTTTTCTTTTTATGAATAGAAAAATAAAAACAATCATTGATGTATGTCAATATGTAATTCGTTAATCAATCGATAACCGTCTATACATCAAGGAAACTCATATAAAAATACCCTCCAATATAGAGTACTTTGTATTTTACTTTTCTTTGAGAATCTGGATGGGTTCAACCTTAAAATTAGCAAACGACGCACTTAATATTAAGCAGAGTCGCGAAGACCACTCGAGCGCACACTTTACCGCTCAAGCGATGAGACTAAAAGGTGGTGCTCACATATTGGCCAACAGCTCGAGTGCAACATCCACCACTGGAGCAGTGAAACATATTTCACAGAAGTTCAGGATGCAAGCAGAGATACTAGATGAATCACTTCACCGCTCGATCCCATACATAATCAGAAAAGTGGCAAACAGGAATGCTCAAGTCAAAATACAGAATGTCAGCATAGACTCCTCTGTACAGACACAACTTGGGTTGAATTCGCATCTAAACTCTGATAACTCACAGATATAATAGAACAAATAAAAATATAAATAAAAGGAGTTTTGTCCCACGAAATTGCCAATTGTAAAAATTAACACAAACAAACAACGAGAAAACAAAAAATATAGTAAAATATGTAAAATAAAAATAAATATTAAGTGTGATATTTTAATCTTATGATATTTAAGAAACTTAAGATAAAATAGTGATCTAATAATTGAGCTTCCTCTGCCTCACTGTCCTTATATTTGAGTGAGCAAGTACTTTTATTTTGTTTTGTTTTCTTTTCTAATTATCTAATTAGTTGGTAGATCCATTACCTAGTTTAGTTGACAGATGAATTAACTGATCTATTATCTAATTAATATATTATTTTTGGTTTAAAAAGTCCAAATATTTTTTTTTAAAGCAAAGAGAAGCTTTATTGATGAAGAGAAGAGACAATTCTTACAATCAGCAATAAAGAGAGGGGAAGGCTGCAAACAATAAAGCTACTCAAATGATCCCAAAGATGGCACCACTTAAGAGGCACTAATAGATGCAAACAGACCGAGGTTGATGAGAGACCAACCCAGGCAGAACAAAGAACAAAATATAAGATAAACTGCACCCCCACCCCACTGATACAGAACCAGAAACACTAGAACACCGAGCACCACCACCACCACCAGTAGGCTTTGATCCTATTAAGATTATTGACTGTATCCTCCACTGAATACTGCAGATTTGTAGTACTATGCTTAACATAAAGTGCTACCCTTACTTTCACCAATTCGGATAATTCTAGCCTATCAACAGACTTACTGTGAAAAAGACACTCGTTTCTTACTTTCCAAATTGACCACATTACAGCCAAAGGAACAGATTTCCACATTTTTTGAACCACCTTCTTGAACTTGAAACCAGCCCACCAATTCAACAAGACCTTAACAGACCCCGGCAATTCCTAAACCAAATCCCACCATTTCAATATATCAGTCTACACTTTCCAAACCAAAGGACAAGACAGAAGCACATGATTAATTGTCTCCTCCTTTACTTTGCACAGCAAACACAGCGAACTGGCTTCCATGTTTAACACACCAATCCTCTTAAGAAATGTTGAAGTTTTAAGTCTGCCTTTCTATACTAACCAACCACAAAATTGCACATTTGGTGGGGCAATATTCTTCCATAGCATATCAGCAACATCAACAGCAGGACCTTTCAAAGACACCCACCACTTCCATGCTGAAGCAATAGAGTATGAACCTGATGAACTAGCCAGCCACATACAAGAGTCCTCAAAATCTGTTGTGAGTGAAGGTTCATCCCTAAGTAACACTTGTAGCCTAACAACCTCCTCCTCTTCCCAAGCTAGAAAAGGTCTTCTGAAAAGGAAATTCCAATCCTGAAATGTTCCTCTCCTATGATATATCTACAAAATTGTAAAGCCCTTCTCCACAGATATGCTATACAACCTAGGGAATTCCTCCTTCAAACATAGGTTATTTAACCACTTATCCTCCCAAAATTGGACTATTTTCCCATTGCCAACAACTAACTTAAAATTTGATAAATAGTGATCAACCAAACCAGGGCAATGTGCACCAATGTGAAAGACATCAACCCACACTCTGGACACTGAACTAGACTTTGGTGCAATATGTACCTAGCTTCCTACCCATGCCATATTTGCACCTCAACATCTGCTTCCAAAGGGCTTTGTCCTCCACACCAAACCTTTACCACCATTTAAGTAAAAAACAATTATTGACTTCTCTCAGCTTTCTAACCCCCAGACCTCCTTGCGATCTATCTACTGCTATGTCCTACCATTTCACCATATGGACTTTCTTCTTAAGATCAGAATTGCCCCAGAAAAAGGGCGCCAAAATCTTCTCAATCTGCTTAGCCACGCCCACTGGTATTTTAAAAATTGATAAAAAGTAAGATGGCAGACTTGAGAGAACTGACTTGATCAGAGTTAGTCGACCAGGAAAAAAAAGGACCTTCCTCTTCCAAGCAGCTAGCTTCTTTTTCACTTTCCCAATAATTGGTTGCCAAGTATTTTTTCTACTGGGATTGGCCTCAAGAGATATGCCTAGATAACTGATAGGGAACTTTTGGGTGTGACAGTTAAGAATTGAGGCAAACTGGGTAATCTCCAAATCACTAACACCAACCCCACACATCACACTTTTGTGGAAATTTACCTTTAATCCAGACAGCACCTCAAAGCACCTTAAGATTTTCTTGATGTTCACCAATTCCCCTCTCTCTGCCTCACAGAATATAATGGTGTCATCTACGTATTACAAATGAGAGACTTTCATCTCATTAGGCCCCACACATGCACCTTTTATAAGCCCTCTCACCTTTGCTCTTTCAATCAAAATATTCAGGCCTTTAGCAACTATGTTGAACAAAAGTGGTGATAAAGGGTCACCATGCCTTAGACCTCTTTGAGGTATGAATTCTGCTGTTGAAGAACCATTTACCAGGACAGAAACTTTAGATGATGATAGGCATGTTTTAATCCAACTCACCCATTTGACCCCAAAACCAAAATTCTTCATCATTAATAAAAGAAACTCCTAGTTAACTGAGTCGTATGCCTTTTCGAAATCCAGCTTTAGAATAATACCTTTCATTTTTTCAACTTTCCACCAATGGACCACTTCATTAGCAATGAGAACACCATCAAGAATGAATCTTCCCCCCAAGAAAGCTGTTTGAACTTCACTGATGATTACTGGCATGACTCTCTTCAATCTTTTTGACAGCACTTTAGCCAATATTTTATACACAGAATTGACTAAACTAATTGGCCTGTAATCACTTAACTCACATGGGCTCTCCTTCTTAGGTATGAGGGTAATGAAAGAGCTATTTAGACTCGACACCAGCTTCCCATTTGAGTAAAACTCATGCATGAATTGTAGTATTTCTCCTTTTATGACCTATCAGCACTTCTGAATGCACGCCAGATTGAACCCGTCAGGCCCAAGAGCCTTGTTACCATCACACGAAAATAAAAAGTCCAAATATTTGAAACAACATTTCTCCATGAAAATATAATATAATCAATCACAAGACCAATGTGGCATTGAAAAATTGCCTATCCGAATCACTTATCATTTTCACTAATTAGCATAATAGAACACACACATTCACAAAAAAAGAAAACTCACGAGTCTCTTTAGTAAAATTGTGCAGAAGTATAAACTTAATAACTAAAATTGTGAAATTTCCAAAATAAATAAATACATAAATAAATAATTTTACAATACTATTTCACAATATTGCAATACATAAAATCTGTTACAAAATCGGAATGTATTCTATGTAATAGTAAGGGCTGAGTAAATACATGGTCCTAATAACAAGGAGATAGTATACAAATTACAACTTATTCTTATTATTGACCAGGCACATATACATATAGTCTCCACGAAGGTGCAATAAGACCAGTCCAATTCGTCGAGAAAAAATTTCAGAGTTCATACAACATACATTATTTAGAACTCATATCCACTTAAAAGCTTAAGTCTTGAAGGGCTCATTCAGTGTTTAAAATCCACACATTTTATTTTGGGAAAAAAAAAAAAAAAAACCTAGGGCTAGACCCTTTTAACAAATTAAACTCTAAGTTTTTAATTTTATCAATTTAAACCTTAAACTTTTTATTTGTTTTCAATCTAAACCATTTGTTTATTTTCATTAAGCAAAATCGACGAAAAAATTAATATTTTAGTTATTAAACTCATTGAAAAATGATATTTTAGACATTTTATATATATTTTAAGTTTAATAACTAAAATACTTTTTTTCCTGACGATTTTATTTAACAAAAATAGGAGAATGATTTAGATTAAAAGATTGAGGTTAAATTGATAAAATTAAAAATTCAGAGTTTATTTTATAATAAGATTCAAACCGTAAGTTTTTTTTTTCTTTTTTTTTTGTAAGTATCTCTTTTATTTTTTATTTGATGCGAGACCCTATTTTTGCACATATTCCAGCAAAATCACATAACGGAACGGGGGTTCGACAGCTGGGGCAATTGGGATGGTCAACTAGCCATGGAAGAAGGCAATCAGAGTGGTACTTGTGGGTGCATGAGAGTTGCATGACTTGTTTCTCTACATGAAAATCTTCCAAGCATACAGCACAAAGCTGCCCTTTTGATTTACTTGTGTTGATCTGGAAGTGCCATCGTCTCCCTGGTATTCTTGTAACCAAGTAACCATGGTTATGGTTATCCCTCGTCCTCAAACTATTATTGCCTCTACCTTCATTTGCGTCAACTCTATTCAACCTTCAATTTAAGACAACAAGGGAGTCCAATATGGAAAAAAAATTAGTAGCTAGTTTTAGGCTATCATGTCGCGTTATTTATGTCATACTTTTGACAAATAAATAAAAAGTTAGATAGTATTGTCACATCTGTCATATTTTTTGCTACGTAACTAATTGAGAGCACCAGAACATTCTAACTAAATCCCACATGATGTTTGAATTTTTAGACTCTTTCACACTTTATTATATATATATATATATATATGTTTTATATTAATTTGTTATTATTTTAGAGTAATTTTGGTTTGAGTCAGTACATATCCTTTTGATAAACTACAATAATGAATAAGACTATGGCCCATTTTGGCAACCAAAAAAAGGGTTATCTATCTTTCCGATTATTTATTTTTTTTAATTTTTTGTGATTTTTTTTAAAATTATGTCAATTTTTATTGTTATTTTTTCAGTCCGTCTTGTCGAGACAAATCTAAAAAGTAAATTTTTTTTAAAAATTCTATAAAAAAAATCACTAATATCAAAATAAGACCGACCAAACAAATTGTTTATTTTGACTTATTTTTATTTTTGCTGGATTTTTGTTAGATTTTTAGAAACAAATTATAATTTTCTAGTTCCTTTTGACCAGTTGAATCTAGAAACCTAAAGTTGTTTTTTGAATTTTTTTTTATAAAAAAATTCACTAAAAACGAAAATAAGTTAAAAAAAATACTCTTCCCAAAACACCCCTATGAGCATTTAGATTGAATCTTAAAATGGTTGCATTCCGCTTGTATCTTTGCGCAGGTAGAAATTTAACTTAAAGGCAATAACTACGGCGTCTCTTAAATTTCACATGTCAAAATTTTCAACTCCAATTTGTTGTGTTATTATATTGTTTACTATTTAATATCTTTTTGTATAGAATTTCTAATTCATTTGTGCAATTTGAGTATCTATGATGTTTTCACAATGATCTGTATATTTTGGACATACTATGTTGTCTCTATTGGTTAGTTGCTCACCAATTTTGAAGTGTACCAGCAGAAGATTTTGTTAGCTCCATAGTGCCAATCTTATTGGGATTATAGAGTTATTGTCATGCTTTTTGCCCCATTCTTTTTTTTTTTTTTTTTTGATGTATCGTTTTTTATTATTATCAATAAAATTTTCTTATACTTGTTCAAAAAAAAAAAAAAATTGAGAACAAAAATCACCAGTAACCAAATTATGATTGTCAATTAGGACGAATGGAAGCACTCAGAGAGAGAGAGAGAGAGAGAGAGAGAGAACCTTGAACTTGAAGGCCGGAAACAACCAAGTTTCTCTTCCAGGCGTTTGCGGGCTTTTAGGGCAGCCTCATCCATGGTGGCAGCAGTGGTGGTGGTGGTGATGATCGGTGGTGGTGGTTCGAGCAATGATCTGTATGAGGGGTGGGCATGGTGAGGATTGTCCTCTTGAAAGTGTTGTTTTCTATTATGAATCCTCCTCCTACGCATCTCTATTGCTAGCGTCAATCCAGCCATCTTTCTTTTTCTTGTTTTGATTTCTCAAATCTACCAAAACTACTCTTTTTGAATGGTCGTCCTAACCCAATAAATGAATATATTTACACACACTCTTACTAGTGTACCAGTTCTTTACTTAAAAGAGGATGAGCAATCTTTCCCCAGAAGATTACATTTCATTTGGTCAATGGATTGATAAAACGGCAACACCAATCCTATTGCATCATGACACGTCGATAAAAAAGTACCATTCAGATGCTTGGAATCTTTTGTTGTTAAATTTATCTGTCTCAATGAAATTTTACTTGTAGGATTATGTTAGAATCTCGACAGACATAAATTTGAAAATATGATTATATATTCAGGATTTTTTTGAAATAGAGCATCCTGTGTTATGTTCGCACGGTATTTTAGAAATGTACCTGTTAAATTTTATGTTTCTAAAATCTTTATACCCGCTGTTGAATGTATTTTCAATTTGTAAAATATGACGGGTATTTCCAAACTGGAGAATCTCAATGCATGAACTACAAATGTATTGAGAAAAAAGAAACATAAATTTGTGGATAGATGATCCGTACATCAGTATCTGGTCTGGCATTATGAGGTGGCATACATATATGGTACATAATATATGTAGATATTAAATAATCATAGGGAAAAATTATGTGGAGCAGACAGTGGGTTGGGTTGGATTTTAAAAAATATTAAAATATTATGATTTAATATAAAACAATTGACATAATAAAAAATTATAAAAGATTGATCTAAATTTAGATATATATAATACTCATTTTTGATATATTACTCAATATTCTAAGGCCATAAACTCTACATTAGTCCAATTTAAAAACTAAAAGAACTAACATAATAGGTCAATCTTTTTTCTTTACTAAAATTTAACTGCATTTAGTTGAAGTTTTTATTTTTTTAAGTTTAATATGATTTTACCGCAATTAAGTAGACAATATTCCTTATTTGTAGTAAATTTTTTTAACAGGTTTTAAGTTTAAAATTTTTTTAGCAACTAAAAAATTATTGGACAACCGGTGTTTGGATTATTTTTATTTTGTAAGTGTAAATTGTTTTATGATTTGCCCAATCGGTGGTAGCAGTGAGCTGCTTGGCTGTTGTTTGCTTTGAAGGTGCTATCAATGTACTCTTTTCTTGTAGTATTATCATTGGCCTGTTGTTCTGTTTCGCTCTTGTTGATTGGTTTCTCATCAATTTTGTAGCGTTCTTACAAATGATTTGTCTTACTCTATAGTATCAACTTAGTTGGGATCATTTAGTTTGTTGTGATGCTTTTTGTACTTACTCCTTTTATTAATGAATTCATTTTGTATTTTTATTTGATTATCATCAATAAAGTCTCTTTTTGCTACTCTTAATTTCATACTGTTTAAATAAAATTTTTCTTTGCTGATCAAAAAAAATAAAGTCTCTTTTTGCTATTTCAAAAGAAAGAAAGAAAAAAAAAAGAAAAAGAAAAAAAAGCAGGAGGTCAGATTAAATCTTTAAAGAACATTACATGAGACATTAATTTTTTAAAAAGTGCT